TGGATAATAGTCTGTATGGTCTGAAATATCACAGAATCAAGAAGATGCGCAACGGAGCCATGGATCTAATTTCCCAATATGCAAAGGCTAGGATAAATGAACAGTTCAAAATCGAAGTCGGCTTCAACAGGGTGATACAAGAGTGATACAATATCACTGACGTTATTTACCGCAGTCGCGAAAGAGATATTCACTACATCGCAATGGAAATCAGAAAATAATTAAAATCTTGTTATACCGATTACATGCGCGGCTACCGTTCGATATTCAGAAGAGTCGAGTGGATAACAACCAGCGTTTCCAGCATTGCATATTCGCCAGCAACGCATGACCAGGTGGGAGCCATCCGCGGCTAACGTCAGATTTTCTAACTGCCAGATGAACAGGTAAAAGTCGTCCAATACCAGAGAATCACTGACTCATTGAAAATGACGAACATTGAAACAAGAATCATATCTGTGTACTGTATATATTTTACGATGGAGAGTTATCTACTGAAAGAAACTATTTCGTTACGGACTCCAGGCCGGTGTAACATTCGTATCACCCACTCGAATGCCTTTTTCGAACTTGTTGGTGCCTTCTGAAACTTTGTTTTAATCGTTGCTTTCTGGTAAATCATGGCGATGAGGAAGCCATATGTTTTCTCGAAGATATTCTGATCGTCACTCAAGCCTGAACAGATGATTTTTGAAACAGAGAACCATCCATCCGAAATTAACGGAAGAGTAAAATGGAGTGGAGCTTCTCTGAAAGGTTCAAGATGTTGTTCTTGGAAAAAGTACCTCGGGCTCGAAACGTTTGAGGTCACGATCAGTTCGTGCTGACGTATGCATGCGAAACGTGAACCCTATGCGTAACAGGTACTCACTGCGTAATGCAACATGAGGAAGTGAATGTTAGGCATGATAAAAACAAATATGAAAATAAATGAATAAATAAGAGCAAAAAAGAAATATCCTTTGGCTCGACGTGTTGCAAAAAAACAGATCATCACTAGTCCGTAAAGTAAACCGGGTTCCAAACAACAGCAAACTGTACGCAAGAGAGCAAAACCCCCAAAACCCTGTTGATTCAGCATGGATAACAGTTGCAAAGTCAGAACTAATGCATCGGCAAAATCGGAACCACGAACTCGAGCCTCTGGA